GTTCAGCTCCCCTCTTCTGAGATGTTTGCTGAATTCGAGAATTTAACTGTTTTGAAGATAATTTTACGATGCCAATGTATAAAAGACAACAAAAGGCAGAAAGTGATATAAAAATTAGATAAGAATTGCATGGTGACAATGTTTCCGATCGGCTGCTATTGGCCAGAGATGGATGTATGTATATATGGATATATGTTCTGTGTTCCTGAGAGTTGCATTTGTGTGCGCTTTTGTTTACTCTAGATGCTCGAATTAGGCCCGATTTAGTGACGAAAGGGTTTGAGGACGGTGGTGCTTTGAAAGAACAGAGAAAGAAAGAGAATATTATATCTCTATTCTTTCAAAAGAATCACTGTTGCGATTTGCCATAAATCAGTTGTCTGCATCAGGCGCCTAACGTTAGCTGCTAATTGTTTGTTCTTATTTTATATAATAAATCGTATTGAAGAATCTAACTTCCAAACAAAGAATTCTCGTAGCCAAGAATTTATATCTTTGGAGTTTCACATTTCACGTTCTTCAAATTTTATTTCGATCGGTTGCCATTTAAAATTAAATAAAATACTATAGTCAATCCAACCAGTTGCCAACGAAAGTAATTTTAGTAATATAATTAGTTAGTTATAATTGGTTATAATTAGTTCAGTTATAATTAGTTATTTATAATTTTAAAAATTATTTTTAAAAATAATGATATAGTATAAATAATTATATACATGAAATGTATATTAATATTAAAATATGGATAGAGCTTTTTGTAATATATACACAAATGCATAATATAAAACGTAGATACTAATTTCTTATATCGGAATCTAGTGACATAGACGAAGTATATGTATTTCTACCTCGTCTCTGCTGAATATACAATTGACAATATTGTAACAAATATCATTTTTTTAAACCAACTTGTATTTTTTTGTTTGACGTAGTTCTCTAATTCACCGTTGTTTAAACGTAGAGGACGCTAAAAAGACCAGTGATTTTTTGTCTGATCAGTAATTCAGACCTTGGAACACAAAACTCCATTTGATGTCCGGTCCATGCAAGTCAATGCACAGACAAGGTATATGAATAGACATTGCATAACTATGTATGTTTACAGCCATGGTAATAAGGTCGACATAAACTTTTCCCTGAGGGAGGGAAGCCAGACAGTGTCGGATTTTTAGCGACTAAAACCTCTACGGTGGCCATCCATCTGCCTTATGGGAAGCTCCGGGACCGTTAACTCTCAACGGTGCTTTCCAGGCATTTGCCTTGTTGGTTTTTTCTCAACGAGAGAGGCTCGCGCACTCCCTATTCTCTTGACGTGCTCTTTCTTCTTGCAGCACCAGGTGCTATTCCCAATGCTGCTCGTGCTCTATGCCCGGGGCGATATCACGTCGACCTCTACTGTCTCCTCTTCTTTCTTCTTTCTTCTTTCCTCCTTTGGCCAGAGGGAAGGAAAGTGGGAGTCCCTTCCCTGACCTCCTCATGCCCGTTATGATTGCGGCGGCCCGGTCCGAGGGTGATCTCCCCCTATCGATGTCGTTCGGCCATCGCAACGTACTCAGGAGGGATTGGCTGCACCACTGATGCGGCGACCGGACCAAATCCTGCGGCACCGTCTTCCCATGTGTGCGGGATTATTTCGTTTCCGCACCCTCTCGGCTTTTTCAGGAGGGTCTTAATTATGGCCGCCGGGGTCGATGCTAGCCCTGAGAATGCTCCTTTGCGCCTTGAAGGCCGAACATGCCTCAAGTATGTGTTGGGCGGAATCCACTTCCGTCCCGCAGTGATGACATTAGGTGGTTTCTTCCGCTGTAATCCTGTGCAGGTACTCACCGAAGCACCTGTGCCCAGTGGGCACTTGGATGGTCCTGAAAGTGAGCCTCCCCGCTCCTCGTTCCATCCAACCCGTCCAATTGGACAGAACGGCTCCAGCGACTCTTCTGCCGTAGGCTCCGCTCTCTTCCAGCTCCGCCCTCCACTCTTGGAGAATCCGCTGGTGCCCTCGCGTAGTTCCCGCGCGCGTTGGAACGTCTGCGCCTCCATCTTTGCTTGCAGGGATCGAACGGGATCGA